GGCATTTAGGGAGAATGTACACAGCAAACCCACTGCACTCTGAGCGCTACCGTCTTCGAATACTCCTCCTAAATAGAAGTGGAGCCAAGACATTCGATTAGCTGGAGACTGCGAATGGTGTTATTCGTAATAGCTTCAAGGAAGCAGCAAAGGCTCTCGGACTACTGCATGATGACTCCCATTACGAGAGTTGTCTCAGAGAAGCGGCAGGGTTTCAAATGCCATGAGAACTTCGATCACTTTTCAGTAGTCTTTTATGCTTTTGCGACGTTACAGAGCCGGAGCAGCTGTGGGAGCTGTTCAAGTCGGCCATGGCAGAAGATTATGTGCACCGTGGCTTGAGCGATGAGGAGGGAATAATCCGGGCCTACTACGACCTTATGGATAGAATGCAGATATGTGGAGTCAACTTGAGCAATCTAGTTACTCCTCCGGCTTATCGAAGGCCAGGATATATAGATGAGGATTATGAATCCAAACCTGAACACGCAGCTCGGAGAGAGAATTGTTCAATAATTCAAACGAACATCAAAGATCGGCAGCAGACGATTTTTTGCAAACGATTGATGCAGGAAATTTCGGAAGACATTTCTTCATAGATGGCCCAGGGGGAGCGGAAAAAAAGATTTGTACACAGCTCTGTATCAAACTCTTCTAGGAGTGAAGAAAAGCGTCATGTTTGTGGTCTGGAAGGGTATTGCTCCTAATTCGCTACCGCGAGGTAGAACTGCAAGCAGTACCTTCAAGTTGAAAATACACGACGGCTGCAGAACAAGTACGACGACAAAAGAGTCTGTTGAAGCCAGAGCTTTGCATGACATTATCATCATATTTTGGGATGCAATTCCAATTGTTCCTAAGTTTACCTTGAAAGCGGTTGATCTCTTGCTGTTAGATATCATGCAAAATGAATCGCCATTCAGAGGTAAAGTTATGGTGGTTGGGGGGAATTTTCGGCAGTGCTCCCTGTTATAGAGAGAATGTCACAGGAAGATTTGGAAAGCGCGTGCACTGAGAGGTCTCATTTGTGGCAGCATTTTGTCACTCATCATCTTTCAGTGAACATGAGAGCTGCAGCAGATATTGAAGAGTGGGCGAGGATGCTGCTACAGATTGGAGAGGGAGCATATCCGGAGTGATGAAAATGGTTTTATTGAGCACCCTCCTGCAGTTTATTTATATCATTTAGTTTAGGAAATCTTATAGAGGAAATTTTTGGTGAAACAATTTCAGCGAGTGACATTGCAGCGCTAGCGGAAAACGCAGTTCTTGCTCCTAAGAGCATTCGCGTAGCACACATGAATGATCTCGCGCTTGAGCGAATGTGTAAGCATCTGAAATTCCTAATTTACAGAAACATTGACGAAGTGGAGAACGCCGACCCAGAGGATGTATTTACTTGAAAAGTGGAGCACTCAAATAAGCTGCAGCCGGTTGGTATGCCCACGCATGAACTCAGATTGAAGCAAGGATGCATTGTCATGCTGCTCCGGACTCTTGGCGTATCCAAAGGCCTTTGTAATGGCACAAGACTTATTGTGGATCGGTTTGGCCAATACGTGCATGGATGCCGCTTTGCTTTGCTGCAAGGAAAATGAGTTTGTTCTTATCCCTCACATAGACCTGTGTACAGATAAAGAGCTTCCATTCCGCCTTTCCAAACCAGAAGACAATTTCCGATTCTTTTGGCCTCCGCTTCTACTATCAACAAGGCTCAAGGCCAAATATTATCGAAAGTTGGAGTCTATTTACCCGACGACGTATTTTCCCATGGACAACTATATGTTGCACTATCACGATCTAGAAATGTCGACTCCGTGAAGGTCCTCTCACCAAGGACGACAGTCAAGAATATTGTCTACAGAAATATTTTGTAGAAAATGTGCTCGACTTAACTCTCCAAACCCTCCATAGCCTTGCCTCATCTTAATCAGCGAATAAATTCTATATGGCCGTGAGACGGAGTAGTAAAATAGGAAATCTACAGGTATTCATCTAAAAAAAACATCAATTAACTTCGACAAACTTCCTCGCTTTGAATCCGATTGAAGTGCATTTAAATCTTCGTTTCTTTTCTTCTTCCGCAGTTCTTTATAGCAATTAAGTTTGCGAGCCCACGAATCGGCTATTTGGGCCCACTCGAGAATCTCAGCTCAACATTCATACTCTCGCTTCAACAGTCTCCACCAGTTTTCCATTAATCCTACCAGGTAATTCCACTAATCTAACAACGTGGGAAATATATCTAGTGTAAGCTTTCAATTCAGGTCTCTTCTGTTATTACAATCGTGTCCGCCACAGCTATAACGACCACACAAATCCATTGCGGTATGCTCTTCAGTTTAAAGTTATGCTGTTTTGGTTGACTATTGATTACTGATTTCAGGTCCTTTTAATCGCTTCTACTCTCTATGACTACTCTCAATTCCAAAAATACCCTATGGCTGAGTTCATCAATGGATAAGTCTACAGACTAGAGCTACTGTGAACTCCATTTCTATGTTCTTCCTACACCTCTCCACCACCTTCACTACAGAAACATTCTTTTATGAATCCCTTATGGTGAGAGTCTATCATTGGTGAGCCTACTGATTGTGAATAAAGCAAAATCTTCTCCAGGTTACTTCAATCGATTCTGTCCTCTTTGCCATCTCTAAAACTCCTTCGGAACTATCAACCGCAAAAAAGTTCACCGTTGGGTGAGTCTACTGTATGGAATTCTAGACGGTTTCTCTTCAGGTCCTCTTTGTCGCTCTCATCCCCTTCGCCAAAACTACACGCCTCAGAAGCCATCGGTGGTGAGCGACTTAAACATTGGGTAAGTATACTGTTTGGAACCACTGTAATGTCTCACTTCAATCCTTCAATCGCTCCTATCTTCACCGCCTTTTCCACGACTCCTATAATAGGGTGAAAAAATTGATGTTTACTGATTGCAACTGCTGTAAGCCCTTTTCAGTTTACTTTGATCTCCCCTTTCTTCTTCGCCTCCCTTAAAACTTCTGAAAACGTCCACTGGTGAGAGAGCTCATCACTGGATATGTCTACTGATTCGAGTAACAGTAAGGTATCATTTCAGGTAATTCAGTCGCTCCCATCCTATTCGCTTCCTTTCAAACTATTAAGAAAACTTCTGCAGTGAGCCAGTTTGTTAAACAATCTTTCCAGATTGAAATACAGTGCAGCCTCATTTTAGGGTCTTTCAGTAGCTGCTAGCCTCTTCGCCTCCTCTCCTCTCCGTGTCCTCTTAAGCTCCGTGGAAATCCTCTGCGGTGAGTAAATGAGACAAGTCTGGAACTACTGTAATGCCTCATCTTAGGTACTTTCATGCACGCCTATCCTCTCCGTTCCTCCTAGTACTCCTTAAGATCCTCCACGGTAATACAGTTCGTTGATTAATAAGTCTACTGATCGGAACTACTACAATGACTCATTTCAGGACCTTTCATTCGCTGCTGTCCTCTCTGTCTCCCTAAAACCATGAGAAATCCTCTATGGTAAGTGATTTTATTAATCTATATATTTATCAGTCAGACTTATATTGAGTCTTTATTTTAGGTTCCTTTTATCGCTCTCACCGTCTCCTCCACCAAAACACTAAAGAAGAACACTTCGCTTGCCACTAGCCAAGAGCAACGATATCTTTCGGCATAAAGTCTTTTATTAGATCCTAAAGCTTTTTTGAATTCATTCCCCGTTCCAAGGTTTGTCTAATTGCGGCGGCAACAGGTAGAAGCAAAAAAATCTTTTATTAGATTTACTCGCTTCCGATGCTATGATAAGTAGCGTATAATGTGAATATTCCCTCTGAAAAGGTGGAGTCGGAAGATGTCTCTATTGAATGATGCACTAATGTGGAAAAAAGTCGTTAGTAATCCATCATCGATGGACCCCACTCCTGAGCTACTAGAATACATCCGCTCAGAGATAACTCTGAGGGAGTCAATTTGTCGAAGGTCGCAAACTGTGCACGGTATCGTGCGCAGCTCAACTGGTAGGTCAAATACCGGCGGTAACATCGGTAAAAATCCGCCGTCTGCAGAAAGTTCGTTTGCCCACGAAGCCTAACCTCTCTCCTCCCTCAGATGGCTGCGAACAGATAGATGAATCCTCCATAGTATAGGGATGTAGCACGACGGTAAATAGCACGAGAACGTTTGGTGTATGAGAATTGGGTGGTATTCCCCAATTTGAACGATCTGATGCAGTTTTGTGGGTATTGATCTCTTAACACTATTGGTGACCGTGGAACTGTTTCCATTCTAATCGCCTCCAGTTCCTTGAGGTTTGATTGTCCTGCGTTGCGGTAGTCGAGCTGTGGTTTCTAATCTGTGACGTCATAAATAAATTCTAATGAGTATCACATCAATATCACTATCAGTATCAGTATCAGTTCATAATCACGTGCCTACGTGATTTTGGAAGGATGCACAAACGGGCATACAAAAAGACACACAAAGGTAGCGGTCTCTATATACAGTGCATTGCATAATTATAAGGTCACCCTGAGAAAGTGAACAATTATTTATGAAGGAGAGGAAATTCCGTGTTTAAAGATACTCATAAAGGTAAGCATGTGTAGCAAATGCATTTCTAAACCTGATTGTCAACATGGCTGGAGGTCATCTGTTTTCCTCTGATGGGAAGGCTCATCATGAAGCTGGGCTCAGTACTCGAGCCATCCCCAGACGAATAGGGAGATCCCCTGGTCCATTCAAAGATTTCTAGAAAGCCCTGATGTCCCTAGATATAACACCGACTGTGAACATCCATGAAGGATAACTGCCCGTGACTAGCGGAAGACTCTGAGGGCTGCTTCCAACAGTACGTCCTCCGTAAACCAGATCCGATCGGAGTTAAACCTATCTGTGTCGAAAACTGCAGTCTGGAGAGCAGTGAGAAGATGCGATAACATCACCAGGCAAGCAATGGAGAAGGTGCATGAATCTCGCCACAGAGAGGCTCGACTCGCATTTGCAAAGATGAACTTAGGGAGTGATTAGGTAAAGGTAGATATGCATCAAAATCTCACCATGGAGCTGAATAATTCCTATTCAGGTCGTCTTTTCGGAAGAAAGAAAATTCAATCTGGCGGTCCAGGTGGAAACAAGCACTACTGGTGCGACTTGAGGAAGGAACCAGTCTACTTCAGCCGTCGCAATTTCGGTGGAGGGAGTCTATGGTGTGGGGTGCATTCTGCAATGATGTCGTGTTGGATCTACCTGTCGTGAGCTGCAGTATGGATTCCAAGGATTAGCAGAACGTCTGGGAGCATCATCTAGTATCCTTTCCATGCCATCGCCGTCACCTCAACTATGTCTTTCAACAAGGCAACGCCTTCATTCATGTGAGCAGTGCAACGAATGAGTGGCTGCAATGCCAATACATAAGCGTCCTGTCATGACCTGCAGTCCCGATCTCAATCCGATGAAACATCTCTGGGACATAATAGTCAGAGAGGTTTATGCGAATAACCGTCAGTTCCAGGGCACAGAAGAGCTGAAGCGGGCAGATATCGAAGCATGGAGAGCAATCGATGAGGAACATCTTCGAAA